AGCTTGCTCTTATATCTAATTAATAAATTATGTCAGGTAATAATACCTTGTGTCTATCTATATTTCTTATTTCATGGAGTTTATTCATTTATTTTTAAAACCATAATACTAATAATTAATAAAAGTTAACACTCATCTGGTCCTATTTATAAGGTACTTCCAATATGTTTCACACAGACCAAGAAAAACCTTAAACTGTATTAACTCTTCATTAAAATATGGAAACTTTTCAACTTTACTCATATTTAATATATACACCTTTCAAAAAAAAATAACTGTCTACATTGTAATAAATGAAGGACAATATAATACATTAATGGTAAAAATTTAATAAAATGACTTATAAATAGAACAAAAAAAAATCTTCTTTCTTTATTCTATAAATAGGACCAGAGGAGTACTAGTAGTTGGTAAGAATTTAGCTGATAATTAATGGACAATTTATGCGTATTTAGTTTTATTGTGTACTAATATCTTCATTTAAAAATTTTATAATTGAACTCAGCATATTAAACGTAGTTGACTATTTGGCGCTCCGGTCTCACCCCCTGTGACCACACGCACGGTCTCCAACTGCCGGCTTTCCTGTGAGCCCCACCGTTCAAATTCTTCAACTTTTTAATCATTTAATTAAGTAATAGTCTTCCGGTCCTAATTATAAGACCCAATTGACTTATTTGAGGAGATTAAGGAAGTAAGTTAAGTTGGTTATTTATAATAAATAAGTGTTGTCATTCCTAAAATATCCTTGCTAATTAAGTATATTGGCTAAAACTATCATTATTAGAAAGATTATCTTGGAAAAAAATACATAAATATAAAAGAGAAAATGGATTGGGTCTTATAATTAGGACCAAATAAAAAGTCAAATTGGGTCTTATAATAAGGACCGGAGGAGTATTTTAACACTTTTTCATGTGTGAAATTAAAAAAAAAAAAAGTAAACTAATAAACTTAAAGATAAATAGCTTATGTTTTATTTTAATCAGCACATTCAGTGAGCGACTTCTTTTTTGGCTACCTAGGTGAGCAGCTTATACGTTAAGCAAAGTTTGTACAATGAGACCAACACATCTAATAATTCGTTAATAATATAGTTTAATAGAAATTTAATATTTAAAATGAACTTTGATCTACAAATTAATCATAATTTTAGACATCGACACACATAAAAAGTTGTAGATTATAAATTAGTTTAGTGTCTTTTATTAAATTGTTTATGGAGTATTGCGGAGTGGCCAAAGAAAAAGGAAGGCATTAATTCGGGGACACGAAAGGTCGGAAAGAAGAAAGAACAGAGACAACCTTCGGTACCATTTCACGAGCCCTGTCACCATTCTATTCATGGCTCATAATTATAGCATAAGTCAAATCCTACCTTTCTTCTGTTATAAAATTTTATTTATAGTATGTAAATAAAATCTTATAATCAAAATAAAAAATAATATAATTTTTATTATAAATAAGAGTTGATTTAGTTAGTAAGGAGTTAATTTATAACTCCTTATTTAACAAGAGTTAAATTTTTAACATAAATATATTATTTTAATCTTTATTTATTATAATATGGATGGTTATTTTTTACAAAAAAAGTGTATATATCAAAGATGAATAAAATTGAAAATTTTATTATATTTTAATGAAAAATTAATATAATTTAAATTTTTTAATATGTGTAAAATATATAAAAATGTCTTATAAATAAAGTGGAAGTGCTCCACGTGAAAAAAAAAAAAAAAAGTAAATGACTGACAATGAATAAAAGAGCTGGCGAAGCAAAAGTAAAATGTTCTCGAATTTTAGCTCGAAAAAGTTTGCTTGCATGCAAAGAACCTAGATAAAGATACACAAATAATACTGGTAGTAAATAAAAACTTAAAACATAGATAAAATAATCGGGGGATAATCACAACAACAATAATAATACTACCTCCGGTCCTTAATATAAAACCCCATTTGACTTTTAGTTTAGTCCTAATTATAATACCCCAATTCATTTTGCCTCTCATATTTATGCATTTTTTTCCCAAGATAGTTCTTCTAATAATGATAGTTCTAACTAACACACTTAATTAGCAAGGATATTTTAGGAATGACAACACTTATTTGTTACAAATAACTAATTTAACTTACTTCCTTAATCTCCTCAAATTAGTCAACTGGGTCTTATAATTAGGACCGGAGGTAGTATTAATATGGAGAAAGTCTGGATCAATTTCCGTTGATTTTAGCTGAAATGATCATCACTATTTGAATACCTAATGTCGATTTGAACCATGATAAATATAAAGATAAATACAGAAAATATTTTTGGGAGTTTTTTTTTTTTGGCTTCTTGAGAGGGTTGCTTCTATTTAAAATTTGCTTTAACTTGAGTTCAGATTAAATTGTCGAAATTTTAATATACCAACCGAATATTAATATTCTAATTTAGGTTCATTTAACCTATAAAGTTTTTAACGAGCGCTTTTGTCTGATTTTCCCGGGGAATTTTCTGATACGTGATGGTTTTATTAAAAGAAATAAAATACTCCCTCTGTTCCTTATTATAAGAGACAAATAACCGAAGTACGTTGATCAAAAAAATAGTTAAAATTAGTTAAGAACAATTAATGTGTAAAAAGTATAATTTTTTTCCAAAAATGCCCTCATTAATAAGGAGAGAGAGCATAAGAGAGAACAATTAAATTATTAAAAGAAAGAGAAGTGGGAAGGAGAGAGAGTGTGAGTTAGAGATAATAAATATGGGTAAAATAGGAAATCAACACAAAAAAGTAAAAACAACTTTTAAGTGTCTCTTATATATTGGAACATGCCATAAGGATCAAATGTCTCTTATAATAAGGAACGGAGGGAGTATGTTTTAGCAGGAAAAAAGAAATAAAAGAGAAGTAGGGAAGCAAAGGGTGCCACGTGGAAGGGGAAAAGGGCAAAAGGTTTCTAATTCTTGAATCGGGTTCCGGGGTAATTGAACCGTGAGAGAGACGAAACGACGCACAAGGTGTGAGGAACGTGAGATAAGTGTCGGAAACGGGAATTATGCGGGAACCCTTTCGTGTTTTGGGCGGCCCTCACCTCCTTCCATCCCATCTTTCCTCTCGCTTAACCACTATTTCTTTTTTTTTTTTTAACTATAAATTTTATATTTAGAATTAGAATATTTTTTTAAATTAGAAAAACAAATGCTAATGATCTGAACTTATAAGAGAGATGCAAGCCTTAATCTCTTGCTCAAAGAAATATTCATATCACTGGGTTATAAGGTCATTGACTTCCTTTCTTTTTTAATTAAGACTCCTTTTTTTTTTTTAAGGATCCATTCTCTACACATAAAAAAGTACTTTTTATTTTTTTATTTATTCATTTCAGTTTTTCAAAATTTAAATTTGTAACTTGATCCTCACCTTAGCTCATCTTCACCCTCACATCAAGCAAGCCAAGGTGTATTATTTATAATTTTGAATTATGCAAGCCTTGGCTATGTGGTTTTATTGAGGAAAAAAAAAGAATAAATATAAACATGATACTCTGACTTTTAATGTAAGACCTAATTAACTAATTTAAATATATTAAGAATATTAGTTAAATTAGTTAATATGATACTCTTCCGGTCCTAAATGTAAGACCCTTATACTCACTAGTATAAGGGTCGTATATTTAGGACTGGATGAGTATTTTTTTTTTTTAAAGTATCATAATCATTTTTCTTGATTCTTTCCTTTCTTCTCCCACATGATTATTGTTAAAGAAATATCAATGAAATTAATTTAAAAAAATTGATAAACTTATGATATGGGTTGTATATATGAGATCAACATCAATTCTAAAATTAAGTTCCACGTCAAGGACCAGAGAGGTAGCTGGTATGAAATGTTTAAAGCTTAGATTCTTCCACTTTTGCTTTGTTTTCCAAATAAATCCAAAATGTAGGGTTGTTAAGAATTAAAATCTAATCACATTCCCTTTGAGAGCACTTATTCTTACTCATGAGACGATTGTTAGGGCCAATGCATGCAATGGATGCCTTAATAAATAATATATTCTCTGGTTTAATGATAAATAATTGTCATTCAAAAGTCGCAAGAGAAGGCTGGAAAGCATCTCTTGCACCAATAATAAATGCTTTTTATGTCATAAATATTACAATGAATGTCATTTTCAAAATTTAATATAAATGAAGCTGTGGATCATAAGCCATGGCAGATAAATAAAGATTTGAAACATGATAATTCGTTAATATAATCATTAATTTCTTGACAAGTACACATGAAAATTTATTTTTGCTCATAAATACAGGTATATATAGTTTATTAAAACACAAGTATGTTAACATTTTAGAAATTTGTTATGCAATAAAAGAGAGAGATTAAATTAATAGTTTTTTTAGTAAATGTACAATTTTATCCCTGATCATATTTTTGAGGTGGAATTTTATTCCTAACATTTCTTTTTGTAATTTTACCTCAGAAAAAGAGCGCGGGTGGCATTTGTAAAAGATCAGAATTGAATTAAAAAAATTAAATTAGAGATAAAATTACATATTTACCCTATTTTGTTTTTAGGAAAAGCTATGCTTGCTTAATAGCTTTGTAATTAGGTAGGAGTTCACGAGTTTAATGTTATTTATAATCTTGTCTGACTTTTTATTTTAAAAAGAAAAGCTATGCTTGAGAATATGGAGAGTTCAAATGAAAGTAGGCAAATGCCCATATAAAGAGGTAACTTGTCATTTTAAAAAATATTGAGATATACATTGGCTGTGAGGAGGAAGAGGTAAATAAGTCCAAAATTTGCCATAATAAGAACACTTTTAAAAATTTTAACGTTGATCAAAAGCAGAGTCGGCGTAACTTTTTTGTGTGGTGTGGGCTGTGGGGGACGAAAGACATCATGAAATTCTAAAAAAGATAAAAATTAGGAGAAAGAGCAAAATAAAAGGGTAAAATGAAATTTTGACGTAGCTGCATAATTATGCTAAGAAAATGACTCCCAGAAAGAGATTCATGAACATATATAATTATCATATTTACTTTAAGTCCTCATATATACATCACTCTCACTCCCATCGATAGTGTACATGATTATTACCACCTTCCATGCATACCCCTTTTTTCTCTCTTTTTTAAAACATTGGAAGTAGACCTAAACATCAAGCCCCACATCCAAAACGATTGACGTTTACTCTTCGCATCGCCTATGCCTCTTTTGCCCCTCACTCGTCCACCGTCTGATCCTGACCGTGCTAGATCTATCGGACACGTGTACGGTAATCACTCCTATGGTGACACCTGGATTATGGTTTGTAGTTGTACTCTATACGGGTTATACACGACGATATTTTGTTTGGGGCTCTACTTGGCTGCTCTGCTACAGTCGGCCTTACCGAACCCCACTCTGCGATTTGCCAGATCGAATTCTACCCATAGATTTTGCTGATGGAAGTTCCCTATAATGTTGCTGGCTGCACCGAGTCTGTCTGATCGTCCGATGCCGACGCACTTGACCCCACCGCCCACGTCAGCGAGAATCTGCTCTTTCGGGATCACTATCTCCACGCCTTGCCCGAACTCGAACGCCATGTCACCTATCAACCGTCCGATCTCCATCGCCTCGCCGTCGAAGCACATGTCGGAAACTCCGCCGTACACGTAGCCCTTCTTCAACCTGGGACCAGCGAGCCTCACTACTTCTTCCCGCACTCTGTTGTAGGCCTCGTCCACCAGGTAGGTGAACTCGGATCCCGAGTCGATCATGGTCTGACCCGATCCGCCTGCGTTCGGACGGAAAACAGCGGGAAGGATGTTCAGCCTTTTTGCTCCAATTCGAATGCCCTGCATTGGCAGGGTGAAGGCCAAGGGGTCCAGGTTCGGCATGCGTTGACTTTCACGGAAGGTCAAGAGGGGCACGTATTTGAAGCCGGCAGAACTCGGGTTGTTTCCGAGGATGAAGGACCCGGTCGGGAGAGATCCGGGTCGGGTCTGTCTGGTCGGCACGCAGTAGGAGAACTTGGTGACTTTGGCCTGGGAAGCGAAGGAGAGCCGGCCGAGGTTCATTCCCAAAATACCCTTGGAGTCGCTGCTCTCGGTGGCGCAACCGAGGATGAGAGGAGGGGTGCTGACAGAGGAAGGCGTGAAGGTGAATTTCTCTCTGACGAGATTGCCCTCGGCGTAGGTGCCGTCGGCGTAAAAGTACGAGTAGTGGCAGAGGCGGTTCTGGTCGCAAGAGGTGGGGAGGGTAAAATCTGGAACTCTGGGTTTACACAGAGGGTGGTTACAGGGGAGGACAGAGAAAGTGGATGAGAGAGAAGGGTCGAAGGAGGACGCCGGAGGAGGCTTCGCCGGCGTCTTCTTGTGACACTGAATCCAAGAGAGTTGGCTTCCGGTGTCCAGAACCATTTCCTGAGCCTGCGGAGGAGTCCCTATGGGAAGATTGACGATCAGAGCCATGGAGTACTTGAACGACGACTTGACGTTATAAGGCGAAGCCGCCGGGGGTTTTGGGTTTGGCCGGGCATTTGCAAGGACAGAAGCAGAGAAAAGCCTGTCAGAGACGTTGGTGGAGAGGGGAACTGAAGTAAGAGGGAAGGACAAAGAAAGAGAGTGAGTGTTGGAACTGTTACTGGTGGGTCTGGCTGAGAGGCCAAGCGAAGCAGAGGTAAAGAAGAAGAAGAAGAAGAAGAAGCAGAGTGATGAAACAGAGAGAGCCATTTTAGAGAGAGAGAAACAGAGCAAGGTTTGAATTTGGCCAATTGGAGAGAGTGAGAGTGAAGGTGAGGGGGTAGAGCAGCGGAAGCAAAGGGGAGTACTTATACAGGGGAGAGGGAACAAAGAAAGGCCAAAAGAAGCAACGTAAATAACCTAAAAAAGAAGACGCGTTTTCTTAGGTTGAGTGGGTGGATCTTATAATTCATATCACAAAAAGAAAAAGAGAAACAAAGCATGAGAGGCAAAGAGGGATAGAAGCTTCACTTCACGATTCACATCTCTTCTAAATATCATGATGGAATGGTGGGTTCTCCTTTTCCTTTTTCTATGGAAGGTTTAAATTAAATTTTAATTTAGCTCCAAGTCTTGGTTTGATTATGGAAGGTTTAAATTTACTTCAATTGATTTGTTTTTGACTTTATGATGATAGTATATGGGGCTTCTCTCGCACACACCCCTTCTTTATATCGATCTACCTAATCGATGGGGCAGAAACACGAACATGTGTGTGTGCGGGTAAAAATAGGAAAATAAAGATATGGGTACAAAGATTGTGTCTTGGACAGAAACAATATAATAGCATTAATTTCGTCATAACTCATAATAACGATCATGGGAAGTGTTATTAGTTGGTACTGTCATTAGTGGCAGGGTTAAGTAGATTAACACTTTTATCAATTCAAATGATACAGCAAATGCATCCCAAATAGCCTCTAATTAAAAGGGTACGAGAATGGATTTGAATTATATATTTGGGGGGGGGGGGAAGAGAGAGAGAGAGAGAGATCGATCCTGGGAATTGAATATAATTGGTTCTAAATTTGAGGAAGGGTACCACAATGGAACCCGTAAAGAATGAGTGGCGCTGAACTGTACCGTCGCAATCGAGTTTCATTCAACTCTTGCGAGGATGCAACTGGCAAGGACCGTAACGATCAATTAACGAATGTTCTCCATCCAGTCACCACAATTTAAGTGTTCTACACTTCACTTTGTAGTAATAAGACTTATTTAGGATGATTTATAAATATATTTTTTATCATGATTTACAGAACACGATATAAGTATGTGAAGAGAATTTAATCTCAATCTATATAAAACATGTTAGTACTTAAATAAGCAAATCCAAACAGTGACTAAATCAGACAAAACTTTTTTCAATTTTGACTCGTTTAGAAAAAACTTTCATAACTTTTTATACCAAAAAAAAAAACTTTCATAACTTCCAAAACTTAATAATAAACTTTCACAAGCTTTTAAATCTATATAAATAACCTGCAACTATTAATTACTACTTTCGATTTTTAATATATGAGCTAGTTAAATATTTAATTTAATTCTTAATATAAGATCTCAATATATTTTGTCTCTAATATTTATCTATTTTGTTCTCAAATAATCCCTATAGTGATTACGTTTTCTATCAAAAAGTAGTTCTAATATACATTATTAACAAAAACATTTTACGAAAAATTATATCTTTTTATTACAGATGATCAACTCAACTAATTTTTTAATATCCGTAAATTAGTTATCTAGTGTTTATATTAAGGACCGATCATAGTATATATCTTATTTATTTAATTTTATTTGTGTTTAACCCCTTAAACTTTGGTATGAGAGAATAAGAGATGCAGAGAACTAATCGGACGAGAGTTAGCTATGCAAATATAAGAGTTTAGGGAGTTCATTATAAAGTTTTTAAGGTCATAAAAATTATATGTACATGATCTAAAACTTAGAGGATCACATATAATTTAGCCTAATGCAATGTATTAAGGACTTTAGAAGGGAAGGATACAAAAAATAGGTAGAGCTATAAGAAGCTTAGGGAAAGTTGGATATCACCATGATTTGTTGTGTTGCCAAAAATCATAATACTGAAGAAAGGAAAACCGAAATAGAGAGAAAGCAAATGGAAGTGGGGATGATATAGGGGAAGAGGGACAGCTGGTAGCCAGCTTTGATTTTTAGGCAACCAAATGAATAGGAAATTGGTCAAAAACACCAGCCGCTGTGATATAAACCACACACTTCATTATTATTATTATTGTTATTATTGTTGTTATTGTTATTTGTATTTCATAATACTACCTCCGGTCCTAGAGGTAAGAATTAGATAACTAATTTAAGAAATTAATTAAGTTATTTTTGTATAACAAATATGTGTTGAGTTCTCTAAATTATCCTTATTCAATCATGTACAATGAAATTACACTTGGATGGAATTATCTCACAATCAATAGGAATATTTTTAAAAATACATTATAAATTTGACAAACAAGATAAATTGAGGTATTATATTTATAATTTTTAACTAACTCTTATATTTAGGATCAATAGTGAGTATAGTATATCACTCTCACTTATCCCCTATGTTTTACATCACCTGTTTTTCCCATTTAACATATAACAACCCTACTTTAACTTCTTTCTTCTCACCAGTACATATTTATATAAATAATAAGATAAATTGTTTAATTAGCACCCCTTTATATATTTTGTGGTTCATAGGGCAATGTCTTGGGTCTTTCTAATAAGGAATAGTTCCATTATATTCCCACCAAGTGATGAAGATGTGGAATTTGCCTCTCCCAAAAAATGAGTGGGGTTTATACTAAAGCCTAGCTATGCGGATAAAAACAACTTCAATTATAAGCACCAGGTTGGATTCTATTATATGCATATATATGCATATGAAGATTTGAAAATTTATCGTTTATTTGTGTGGGTGAGATTATCATATGTTAGAATTTATCAATACATTCTGATTAAAATTAAATTGACAATAATTATATATTTATATTACTTATAAATAATAAAAAAATTAACTTGCAAATTCTTATATTTTACCTCAATTTTAAATTAGGTCATTACAGTTTATTTTGTTTGAATTCAGTCTTTATAATTTGATTTATTATAAGTGTTCATCTTCAATGATAAACAATAAAATATCCTAAAAATGTGGGTGAATTTCAAAATCTCAAATCAAACTACTTATACTATTTTAAAATTTTTAAATCTTGTGAAATAATATAAATGCACTTTACTATTTTTTTTAATAAATATTGTCACTTCAACAACCTTGGCCGGTTTCCAATTACTATTTTTTTTTAAAAAAAACTAAACATATTTTTTGTTATAAGGAAAGGGCGAACCAAAGAAATATAAACCTTAAATGTAAACAGAAATAAACTCCAATATTCATGAAATGGACAATTATCCTTTTAAGACCTCTACAGCAAACAAAATGAAAAAAAAAAAAAAAACTTTGTCATGTGAGGAAAACTAAAGGACTAGACAAACATAAACATTGAGATGAATAAATAGATATATTAATGAAATCTATCATATAACAAAATTATATTAAAAATTACTCACAATATATATGACGCGAAAAAGGACATACATTATGATTAAAATGTTGTATTAATTATGAAAAATGAGATTTCTCTCTCGTACATAATACATACATGCGCGCGCGCACACATATATATAGATTTATATGTATATATATCAATGCATGCATGTGATATTGTTTTAAAAAAATAAATTTAGCCGTCAAGAAAAATTACAAGAGCTCTTTCTAGCAAATGCAAATGGCCCATCGTTTGCCTTTTGAAAGACAAACTAAATTGTAATTGCTAAGGAGATAGATATGGCCAATATATTAAATTACATTAAATTAAGTCATTAGTCACTTGACACAATCTCAACATCAATTCATGGCTGGGAATTAAGGTCTTCTCGTGGTCTCCTAACTTCAATTCATGTGATTGAAAATTTTCCGACAGGACTTCTGAAATTCTCAAACAATGTTTTGTCATTAGCCAGCTAGCTAGCCCTATTGTTTCTAAAGGTTATATATAAATATATATGCGGCTCTTAAGAAGACAGCAACGGAATTTCGTAGCCATGTTCAATGAATCTAGTTCGATAAAACTTTTTTCGAAGGATTTTCCTCTTACACATACTCTTCATCAGTATTAATTTTTCAAATTATATTTAGAGTTTTTATGCAAATAATAATTTAAACAATTACTCCATTCATTCCTAAATATAAAAACTAATAAAAGCTCTTATTTTAGTTATAAGATTACAATTCATTTTATCTTTAAAATTATAATTTTTTTCTAAATTTTTTTATTCATTACATATATTAAGGAATTTTTCTTTTAAGAGAGTAATTTTCAATACAAATAATCTTTCAAACTTATAATTTTTTTTCCCAAAACTCTTTCCTAATCTTTTCACAAGTCTATATAATTAATTTTGATTTCTTTTAGGGGAAGTGTGCTTGCCCTTAAATATATTCATTAAGAGTTAAATAAAATTAATGAATGATTGTATATTGGCCTGATGATGATTTGTAACCAGCAAGTCTCAAACTTCCAAACAAAAGTTGCATGTTTTGTGTACTTTATTCGTAATTATCTACGAATATATAAAACTCACATTGTTTTAAGGAAAAATTTTCAAAAAATACCTCTTGAATTTTAAAATATCAAATTAAGAATTACTAAAATATATATTATCATTTACTTTTTAAATATAGTCAATTGTTATTAAAGTGTAATAAACAAGACTGATTTAAAATTTTAAAATTCAAGAATTTTTTTTTGGCATTTTCTATTGTTTCTATCTATTATCAATAGATTGCGATCAATTAACCTAATCTAATCTTTTGTACCATTCTAACGAAAAGAAAACAAACAAAAGAAATTAATAAAAAGCACTATATATAATTCATAATAGTACATAAGTTAACAGATGATTTGGAGTTTTGTGTATAATGCTTTTGTATGATTCCACCAAAGGAAATTGCGTGCTCATTGAACGTGCTTCGATGAAATTGAAACGTAACTTTTCATTTGTCACAAAGTGTACCCAAAAAAAAAAAAAGCAAACCCAGAAATTTTTAGTAATTTTCTTTTGGAAAACATAATTGGCACAAAGTCTTCACAAATTTCATTGTTGCATTATATTGTGTCGTTTGTTAGATAATAGGTTAAAAGGGTGCTCCGTTTGACGCCAAGTTGGGTAACGTGATGCAACAACAAAGCAACAAAATTAAAATGGACGGTGCAATAAGATTGA